CCAATGATCACCAACTAGCCACAAGAAGATGAAGATGAAACGTCATGCCCCTACATTAGTGAAACAATGTAGGCACAAGTATGTATTAGTACATGGAATGTACTAAGTATGAGGAATATGCATAAAATATGAAAACATGATCATAAGGGGACATAATCCAAATCATTAAATGCATGACCAAGTTAAACATAGTAAAATCATTTAAGGAAGAATCATAAATCATGAACATGGTCAATGCATCTTAAAATCATGAGTAAAGCTTCATAAAACCTTTAGGAACAACTTTGTTCATTTTGTGGGATATTTACTATTAACCAACATAGACCATGTGAGTTATAACATGAAATATGGTGTCACTCCCACATTGAAAAGAGATGTCATTTGCTTGCCAAGGCAAACACCTTAAACTTCTAGCTTAGATGGATCCACTAGCTATGTCACTTAAGACAACCTATGGGGGCACACAGTTAGGGACAAATACATTGCTACTAGAGACCCGACATCTACTAACGAAAGAGCCTTCATCTCAATATCTTCTCGGTGCTAAGTACAATCCCAAAAAAATTAGTCACAAACATAATAATATCATAATCCATGAAAAAATACAATTAAATTACTAATCCAAGCAAAAAAAAAATCATAGACTAGCTATTTAAACCACGTGTGAGAAAACCTTTCACCATTCATGATTTCTTAAGTATGTGAGAAAACCTTTCACAATTCATGCATATGTGAGAAAACCTTTCAAAATTTCATTGATGATTATTTTAAATTAACCAAGATCATAAAACCTTTCTTTTCATAATTCATGCATAGTTCATGAAAACATCATTCTTAGATTCATAGTTTCTTCATAAGTTCTCGTCTTTAGAATTCATAACCAAAATCATGATCAATGCATGGTTCATGTTATTTCACTTGGAAAGTATGTAATTGAACTAAAACAATAAAAACAAGATCAAATTTAAGCGATTGAATAGACACAATTAGAACCCACGAAGAGTAGAATGAAAACCTAATCAATTTAAGGAAATTGAATTGGAGAATTTGAGAAACCTTGGGGCTCAATGGGTGAATGAAACCTATTGATGAAAACCTACATACCTTGAGGATCAAAGCCCAAAAGTAATGGTGAACAAAGAAACTTGACTTGGAACCCGAGCTTCTTCTTCTTGACCTAGGGAGAGAATTGGAGGGAATGAACTTGGATTAGTTTTAGAAATAAAAAGGTAGTTATAGATTTTAGAAATAGGGGTAAAAACGATGTAGTATAGGTATTAGATTCATAGAAAAAGACTCAAATACCTTTTAAAAATAATTGTCGGACAGTCTTACGGTTTGAACCTATGGTCTGTAGAACTTTCTACGGCCCATACTAATCAACCGTAGAACCAACTTTTGAAATCCAAATTCCACCTTACTTCCCATGAGACCTTTCTACGGTCCATCTAAATTCTTATAGTCCGTAGACCTCATCCGTAGGACTCTACTTTTGGTCCAAAATTTCATCAAGTCTGAACTCTTTCTATGAGACCATCCTATGACTCATAGAACCAACTATGATCCGTCATTTCCTTCTGTAGAACTAAGGTCTTAAATAAAATCTCTGAATCATCCTTATGGATCAATCCTACGACCCGTCAAAAATCATGCGCCTCGTCTTGTTAAGCTGTAGGTTCAACACCATAAACTTAAAATTTCAAAACTTAACTCTGGATTCTACGGTTCACTTTCTACGGCCCGATGTAATTCCTACAGTCTGTAGGTTGGACTCGTAGACCACTGCTTTAGAGAAATTTCTGTATTTTTCTTTCCTTTTCAACTTCCGAGATGTTATAATGCACTTATGAACCAGAAAGTGTTCATGGTTGAAACGAACAAAATAATGAGAACAAAAAGCAGTTAAAGTGTTAATTGTGTGATTTGTGTTTTCTAAGTATACTCTAAAGCTTGACAGCTTAAAAATATCAAATCTACTGATTGACCGAGTATATCCGATATGTGTTCACTATGGAAATTTCAAAGGAAAACCTTCTTATTCAGATGCAATCAATCCTTACTTGTGAATCACATAGTTTTTCATGCATGTGTTTTAACAATAGTTATTCCCCATTCATGTGCGGGTAGTGTAGTGTGAATTGGGAAATGAGAATGGGAAAATATGGGGGAACCAAAGTGAAGGAAAAATGAGAAGTCATTTCTCTAAAGTTTTGTCCTTATATTAGGTAACACTTTCTTTTAATCTTAAAGGATTAAGTATAGGATGCTCCCTCGCGCCGTCGTCGCTCGCTCGGCTAGGCCTCGACTTCGACTTTGATGTGATTGTTTAGACAAAATATATTTATTATTAATTATTTTCTTTTTTTAATATTAATTCATCGAATTATTTATGAATTAATTGATTTGTGGACTTAAGTTGAATTAATTAATTTACGGAACACAATTAACTAATTAATTTGCAAAACGAAATTTATTTGAAATTTGCGTAAATGTTTCAGAAAGGACATGTTCCTTCCTAATAAACATTTCTTCTCCCAAAAGACGGCATGCCTGTTCTAAACAGATGAGTCTGTTCTGAATATATAGGTGAGTTCGCACCTATAATTGGCTATAAATAGAGATACTTCCTCTCAGTTTTTTGCATCGAAATTTCTCCTTCTATAGCATACATTTTCTTACAAACAAAGTAGAGTCTTTGTGTGATTTTGTTGCTGACCATTGAGTTCGCTGATGTTATTGATGTCTGAGATACCACTACTTTTTTAATAGGTTTATCCATTTTATTCTGGGAGGAAATAACCCACAACCTTCGTTACAGTAAAGAGATTAAATTCTAAATACGGTGAATTATGTGATCTCAAATATTTTCTTTCTTTTCATATTTATAATATTTCTGATTTACTATTCTGAGTATAAGATATAACAATTCTTTATACCAAACGGCTCCTCAAGTGAATTTTGAATCGATACTATGAGTCAGGATTCTTTGTAATGAGATAGAGATGGATGACATTCTTCAGCACGAGCTTTGCTCTACTGAAGAGGCTTGTCATACTCCAAAAAGCATTGCTCTTTTTATCCATAAAAATAGAAAAATGACGTAATTATATGACTTAAGATAACATAATCTCTAAATATCCCTACCATTTGAATTAATTACAATTTTTTTTTTCTTTCTCTTAACACTTGGATACATCACTCTACCTCTATTAGATATATTACAATTACTTTGTTTGTGTTTAATGTATCTGGTACAAATGTTATTATTGATACATAACTCCAATTATTTCAAACTTAAATCAGTATGAATCTACTTATAATTATGTATTTGATACATAACTTATCTATCTTTTGTTATGTATCAGACGAAGGAGCAATGTATCCGCGAGTTTTGAAAAATCCAAGATTATAGTATTTTGATAAACTTTCGAGATACGATATACTTAGCGCCCAAATTATTATTGTGGTTTATGTACTTTATACTAAAAAAAATTGATGTGTTAGCTGGCAATGTTTCAAAGGAGTGTCCACTGTGATTGTTGACCAGGGATGACACAAATATGAAAAATGTCCAATTAAGCAAAGCTAACTTTGAAGGTCCAGTAGAAATAAGCCTAATAACAGGCCCAAATCGATAAACTTGTAAAAACAAAAAAAAATTGTATTAATTTAGTTTGTTTTTTGGTTCACCTAAACTAAAATTGAAAATGGAACAAGCCTACAATTTTTTACTAATAGAGATAAAATAAAGTTTAGGTTGTATCCAAATTAGAAGTTAAGGTCTATGTTGTAGAGAGATTCGAATTTAGTACTCAATCAGAACTGCAACATTTTTTACATTGTTAGCAGCTATATAATTGATGAGCATGATTCATACTGATTTATGTTTCAAATAATGGGGGTTATGTATCAACAGTAAGATTTGAACACGATACATAGTACACAACAAAGTTTATCCCGTACAAGTTACTACGAATCAAAGTTTACGTTTTGCTGTTAGTGTTGGTGTGAATGTGAAAATAATGAGTAAGATTTTTGTTACTCCAGTCGATTAGAAGCAGAAGAAGCTAAATTTTGATCTTCAAAGTCTACAGCTTTATTTCTATTCCTAGATGTAGCTGAAAACAGTCAACATAGAAAAGGGAGTTTGGAAATATTAAACAGAATACACAACTTGTAGAAGATTTTGGATTTAGAGTTGAATGTGATGATAGATGCATCTATTTAACTTTCCATCTGCTCTGATTTGTTTGCAAATTTGTTTGACATCATATGGTTCATCATCGGTTAGACAAGCTCATGTATTTAATGAGGATATCCATAAAGAAAGAAAAGATAATGATCAACTACACTTGCAAAAGGAAATTAACAAATTCAGCAGCTGCAGATGGGTATGATGGGTTCCTTTTTTTGCTCCTTATCCTTCTTGCCTACTTATTCTATAGTTGTACCAATATGGGTTGTGGTGTAGTGATGAGATTATTTACCTCTTAATCAGAGGTCTTGGATTCGAGCTCTAAGTATGAAACAAATCATTCTTGGAGCGCTACTCTCAGAATGTGCCTTGCTGCACAATTCAGATTTAGTCATAGCTTCAATGCGGACACCAAACATCAGATGGCAAACCACAAAAAACACATAACTGGCTTGTGAATTGTGATGTCTCTTATGTGTTGAAACATTTTCTTTTTAGAATCTCAAAGGCTGAACCTCACCCTCTATTTGCAATCCTCTGCCAAGCTTTGCTCTGGTCCGTAGAGGTGGAGTCAAGATCTGAAACTTGGTTCACCGTTATTCTAAATAAGTCAGATAGTTGATGGGTCCCCTCACCGCCACAAGTAGTTAAGATTTTTCAATACCCATATCTCCCGAAGCGACGATTCAAGTCTGTCATCTGCCTCCTTCTAAACCTGTCAAAAAAACAAGTAGGACTGTCAGCTGAAATATGTGAAGTATGTATAACCATCAGGGTAATTTATAATAGCATCATTTTTAGGCTTAATATGCAGGAGTATGATGCTGGCCAATAAATTAAAGCCCCTTTAATATTCTCATATCTCTATCGTCCAGCATCATCTCTCCTGCGTAGCAAGCCTTTTGATACTTTTCCTATTTTGTTCATTCCTCAATATAAACTCAACTCTCTCTATATTTCTTCTTTCTTATAATTATTAATCAAGAAATATTGGAATGTACAAATTGTCAATGTTGGAACTATTTATCCTTTTTGTCATCTTGTATCTATTGTCTTTTGTGGCGTTTGAATCAGTTTGTAGTAGGGACGGGTAGTACTAGGATAGCTAGGAGAGGAAATTACATGTTTGTCCCGCTTATTCTTTCATACTAGTATACTTGTTATATTACTCCTTTATTTAAATTTGGAATCTCAAGCTCAATTCCGAACCTCTTAAATCACTGAGTTATATTTTAGTCTTGTATTGAGGAGATCTTGACCGAGGGGGTTTTAGGTGAACACTTTGGTGTGCGTCCTCCTTATACTTCAATTATAGTATTATTTTGTTATAACTATTGTTCAGAATGACTTGTCATGATTTCTATTGTTGTTTGTCATATATAGCTTCTTCACTTCTGTTATTTCTTTTTCCGTACTACTTTGAACTTTTTTTCCATTGAGTCAAGAGTATATCGAAAACAATCTCGCTACCTCCAAGATAGAAGTAAGGTGTGTTACACTCTACCCTGCCAAGACCTCACTTTATAGAATTAAGGTGAGTGTATTGTTTTTGTTATTGCATTTGAACTAGTTTGTGCTTTTCACGAGGTACTTGCTACCTCTTACTAACACACATATCAGATAACTCGGTTTGTTGAACCTTAAGCAGATAGGTAGGTGCATCGACAACTTTAAGTTTTTCAATTTATGTGAATTCAGTATTTTTTTACACGGAGTATAGATTTATATTATAAAGTTTTATTTAAATTGCAATAAATAGTAGCTATGATTCCATAACTATAAAACTATACCTAACAGTAATCATGAATCCACCTCTGCAGACCGGAAGAAATCACATTATTTTTTTTTTTGTTTTTTTTTTGGAACCTGAGAATAATCCGCAACTACTATAACCTCTGTCACAGGCAGTGGCGTAGCCATATATAGCCCAAGGTAGCCAGTTGGATACACTTCGTCCAAAAATTATACAATATCTATAAAAAAATAAATTGTACAAAGTATATAGCTAGGTTAAAAAATATTTTATATATATATATTAAATCTTTTCTTACTTACTAGTAATAGTCTCTGCCCTTCGATGGGCACTCTATGATGAACACTGAGTACCCTACTGTGTAATAGCTTACAAACCATATCTCTACAATAATTTTGGATTTTTTGTTAATTTACAATTTTCACCTATTTTATTGACAACTCATTCTTGGATGCTTCACGTTCTAAAAATCTTCTCATATAAGTTTTTCCTAATTTTTTCTTTGTGTAGATTAAAACAAGAGTCCACATTATTTGGTGCATCGTTCCGAACCATATTAAGTCACTATTATAAGGACCAATAATCATCTTCAATCAAACAAAATAGGAAAAAGAGAAAAAATCACAAAATTGAGGGGAAAAAACAATCTTAAAAGGTGGCATTTAATGTTTTCTAGACAACTTGTTTAATGTTTTCTATACAACTTGTTTGAGTTCCATTTGAGTGGCTTGAATTTCATGTTTGTTATAAGCCTCATCTTCTAGATATGGTGATGTCAATACTCCTACGTCATTACTTCCTGAATATGAAGTGGAGGTTTGTTTGTGTTTTTTTTTTCCTGTTAGGTGAAGTGTCACACCAACAAAATTGATTTTTTTTTTTTACAAAAATACAATAAATTTCAATTTGAAAGTTATGTCCCGAATCGGGTGTGATTGGATCCCGGTTCGGAAGCTGAGGTCGAAATACCAATTTGAAAGTTGAATTGGGTCTCACATCGATTGTTGGTTGTTCGGATTGGATCATTATTTGAAAATCGAGTCTCGATTCGAGTCTCGAAGTCGAAACCTGGATTGATCGATTGTGTTCAAGTTTGGGTGTCAGAGTCAAGTCTTGGGTCATATATCTGATCACAATTCAAATATCGGGCTCGGGCCAAAAGTCGTGGTCAGGTCCTGGGTCAGATCTCAGGGTCGGATTTCAGATCGGTCGTCGGGGTTGTGTCCTAGCTCGCGTGTCGGGGTATGTCCTGGATCGATTACCGAGGTTGATTTTCAGGTTGAAAATTATTTTCCTAAAAAAAAATTCCTCCTCTCTAATAAAAAAAAAAGATATCTTCTAGAAAAAAATTCATTCACAAAACAAACACTAAAAAAATTTTAAAAAAAAATTCTACTTGCAAATCAAACATAAAAAGTAAGTCAAAATACACTTATTTTCCAAGAATACATTTTCTAGGAAAACATTTTCCTTCTGGCCAAACACACCCAAAGTCATTATAAAAGTTACCACAATTGATCTAATCTATCAATATCTAACTCAAACCAAGTTTACCCAATCATTATGAAGCAATTCTAGGCATCACCCACTAACTGTTGATGTAAGAAATCAACTCAAACACCAAAGCACAAGCAAATATCGCTCAATTTTGGAGCCCAAAACTGACCCTAAATTCATTTTAGATTTTGAAAATTGAAACTTGATATAGTTAACGTATAATAAAAATAACGTGAATCCAAAAGATGGGGCCGAAAAAAAAGTTCTATACTCTACACAGTGCTGAATCTTCAGCTGCAAAAATGGATAAGAAAAATGGACAAACTTTGATATATACTAAGGGTGTGTTTGGTATGGAGGACACAAACTCAAACTAGAAGTGCCACAAAGATATCTCATAATCCACTTTACAGTATTTCAATGCTCTCTTCCCGGATTAGAAAGAAAACGGCTAACAGTACCAACCACATGAGCAATATTTGGTCTTGTACACACCATTGCATACATCAAACAACCAACAGCTAAAGCATAAGGAACTTTCTTCATATCTTCCTTCTCACCCATCAGTGGAAGGACAATGCTTAGTACTCAATTTGAAGTGCATAGCTAAAAGTGTACTGACTCTCATTTCTTGTTGAGACATATATGTGGGACACTGGTGATGGTCCCTCATCTGGACCTGAATAATGTTTAGTTGTTCTCTAAGGTCATGAACTAATCTGTATTCAATTGTGTTTAGCATTTTGAGACCAATTTTTGCTAACTTCCTTCAGTTTGTGCCAAACTTGCCTCATGTGTTTGCTTTTTCCATGCGTGCCTCTAGTTGTCTTAGCATCAAGTCTGAATGATCAAAGCACACCTGGGATCAAGAATGTTCACCTCCAGGTGTGGGTATTGTAGTAACCATGATCTGCATAAACCAAGGTGCAATCTAAGCCTACTAAATATTAATATGCCCATTTGCCAATGGATTTTAAACTAGTTATAGATGTGTCCAACAAGTATCCATTGATATCCCTTGTTTCTGCATCATGAACTGAGTTTTCATCTTGACTATCATTCACTGTTAACATCCCCCATAGTCACCCAAGGCTCGACTCGATGCTTCTTAGCTCTATCTTCAATGGTACACAATACATGCATTATTATATTGCAAGACTAAATTCCAGCCCAGCTAACCTAGGCACTGTTGCAGGATTCCAAAATACTTGTATCCTATCTTTGTTGCTCAACTTCACATTATGGCAGTAACTTTATTCTATTCAACTAAGTTTTTCTTCTTTTACTCTATGTTCTAAGACTGCCAGCAATGAACTCTTGTTATTCCTTAGAAACAAACTGACCCCAGTTTACTTATTTAGTCCTTAAAATGACCATTCTTTAAATGCATTTGTTAATTCCAAAGCCTGAGGGCTTTCTAATGCTCTCTACAACTCTTAGTTATGATTTTGGCCCTCACACTGGCATTCCGATGAGGAGTACAATTACATATGATCGTGAGCCAAAGCAAAAACTAAGCTAAAAATGTTAATCTCAAACTTGTTAATTGTTTATACCTTTTCTTGTAGCTTATTATTATGATTCAAACTCGTAAATTCAAACATAGAAACAAGTAAAAGGCCTTGCAACAAGTTACTAAAACTACACTCGCAAGAAAGAAGGAAATTACTTTGAGAAAACTATACGAAAGCTAGCTAAAAGTGGATGATGAAATATTTAATTACCATGAAAATGGAACAAGATCTGAGAAGAAAATATACTCAAAATTTCAGCAAGTTAAATAAGTTAAGCAGTGACCAAGGCTATAAAGTGATATAAAACCAGGTAAAGGAACAACCACCAGAGCTATATGTCATTGCCCATCAAGTAATTTGGTCAGGACCAAATTGCTCAATTACTCCACTATCCTCAAAAAGAGGCTAGAGAACCATGACAATACCTTCTGTAGCCATATCCAAAACTGGTAAAATGCTGTCCAAAACAAAATTGGAAAAAACTGATGCAAATAAACAAAACTACTTCATCCGTGCTCATCAAATGCACTCTTCATTTTCCCTTCTTCTGGGCAGCCTTGGTGACCTTGGCACCAGTTGGGTCCTTCTTGTCAACGTTCTTGACAACACCAACAGCAACAGTTTGCCTCATGTCCCTCACAGCAAAACGACCTAATGGTGGGTACTCAGCAAAGGTCTCAACAACCATAGGCTTGGTGGGAATCATCTTAACCATACCTGCATCACCATTCTTCAAGAACTTAGGCTCCTTCTCAAGTTCCTTACCTGAACGCCTGTCAATCTTGGTCAAGATCTCAGCAAACTTGACAGCAATGTGGGAAGTGTGGCAGTCGAGCACTGGTGCATATCCATTTCCAATCTGGCCAGGATGGTTCATGATGATGACCTGGGCAGTGAAGCTGGCTGCCCCCTTAGCTGGGTCATCCTTGGAGTTTGAGGCAACAAAACCACGCTTCAGATCCTTAACAGCAACATTCTTAACATTGAACCCAACATTGTCACCAGGGAGTGCCTCCAGAAGAGCTTCGTGGTGCATCTCAACAGACTTGACTTCAGTTGTCAAACCAGTAGGGCCAAAGGTCACAACCATACCAGGCTTGATCACACCAGTCTCAACACGACCAACTGG